ACACAGCTGACTAAACGTCAAACAGAAAACTGATTAAACAGAAGTATGAGACGGTCGAGAATTTACGCCAGTGTCCTGTTATGTTTTAGATAGCAAGGAGCAGACGGCTGAGTTTATTAAACTCCACCGAGACTGCGGTGACGCTAATCAGAAGGCTAGACTGTCCAATTTCCCCAGCCGTTTACTTCCGGCCTACCCGACCTTCTGAGGACCAATTGCAATTGTGATCTGGAAGCCGACAAAGAAAGCGCAGCAGGTCTAGGGGTCAAGCATTACAGCGAAGACCCATGGACGACAGGACCAGAGGCCAACGACGGGGCGAAAGCGGGACCTTTCAAGTGGCTTGGATTGTGGCAATTAGCAGGCGGCCGGCGGTGGCGTGGATTGGCAGGTGGTCTGCTGCAGTGTGGATTAGCTGGTGGCTGGCACCCTTTGGAGGATTGGCAGGTGGACTCCATGGTGGTGTCCGCGGCAGGTGGCGGCGTGGAATCCGCGGCAGGTGGCGTGGAGTCTGCGGCAGGCAGCGGGGAGGGACCAACTAATTCGGAGTGGAGTCCACTGCAGGTGACTCTGGTGACACTGTTCTTTCTAATGCAGTCTTATAAGGATATTAATGACAAGCCACACTGTTGAAGTAGCAATGCCTCTGTAAGCACACTGTAACATCATGACATCAACAATACTGTACATAAAACTTGTCTTCATTCTGTCCTGTACTGTTGCCAGCAGACAAGTTAGGAAAATATAACATTTGAAGACAGTCAGAAAAGAATATTAAAATATGCGATCATAACTAGTTTTAATATAGTTATTTTTATGGTGCTCTTATGGAGAAGGGTCTAAACTCGCCTATGCTACATAAGCTCCTTTTCCATTCGAACCTATTTGGGCCGACTCGGCACTAGACTTGGATCAAATGATTTTCCATTACAGTGTAGTACCTCAAAATGTGCATGGTCTCGAGACAAGGCAAGATGAATGCTACAACAAAGGTGGACGTCCAGTCAAGAATATACCTGCTGCTCTGCCTGTGTTTTTTCATCAGACTCTGGGAACATGGGATTGGTTTTTGTAGCCATTTCCCTCATTGCTGGATTTCAAAAATGGCGGTGTTGAACGAAATGCTCTTATTAATCATTGAGTAACGCCTGTGACCCAGCCAATCGGTGGCATGCAGTCTGACAATGTCACAATTTATGAACTGCTCGGATGGCTTGGAACTTTGGCAGAACAGGTACTAAATAATACCTGGTACCAGGTGCTATGACCTAATGAAAAACCCTAAAAACCGTGACGAACCGTGCCGAGTCGATCCGAGGAGGTATTTATGGAAATGGGACTAGAGCAACAGAAAATCATTATGTGGACTACAAGTACCATCACATCATGTAAACTTAACGTAATTACGTCAACGCCATTGCCCAGCGTCCTTATATACGTCACATGCCCGGATGTCGGTCTTTTTTTCATAGCAAAGGTAAGACAGCCTTGCCTTCGTGTTACTGTGGGAAAGAAATCTGCTTTCATCCTTGTTAGAGAATAAAAAATACTCTCTCCAACTATCATGAGACGATTCATTATGTTTAGACTATACGGTAGACATCACTATTGCCATGATTTATTCTTCATATTACTGTAGATATGCTTAGATGTGCAGTTTAGGCCGCCGGCTAGCCTCCGTACAGCCTGTAATGTTAGCAAGGCTGGTGGTTGAAACGTGTCGTCTTTCTTCAGTCCTCGGTTTTATTCATTCCACTTATTCGCTGTCGTTGTTTGGGTATTTCATTTAAACCTGGAAATGTTAAGAAATCAATTTTGTCTAATTGTAAATGAAGACGAGAAATGGCTGGTTAGCCCGGAAAGTTGCTAACGGCTAGCCAGCGTTACTTGTCATGCTTCTGCATTTATGATGGCTCTTTGGTAGTAACCAGCCAAATCATTTTCATAGTACTTTATAGTTTCTTAGTGTTTACTGGTGCTTACTAATAGTTTGTGCAGAAATGCTAGCAGCACAACAGCTTAGAGTTTAAGGTCTTAATACATTGCTGTTCTGCTGTTGTTAGTGCAATAAACCTAGGAACACATTCTAATAACATCACTGTGGTATCATAAATCATTGCTCATCTGAGACCCTAACAAACATCTACCTTCTTTTTACTTTGTGTCAGATGGCAGAGGGAGACAAAGCTGCCAAGAAGAAGAAGCACGGGAGCCGGAACCCGGTTCTGGCCCGGGGCATCGGTCGCTACTCCCGGTCCGCTATGTATGCTCGCAGGGCCATGTACAAGAGGAAGACCAAAACCACTGAGACCAAGGTAAGGGCAGACCTTTGACACCACACAAATTGTTTAATAATGGTCAAAGGCATGCCACTTTTTCTTTGCCACTTGTTTTGATGGTAATTTGTTCTCCTTCAGGTGGAAAAGAAGATCAAGGCTAGACCCAAGGCCACTGTCGTCAAAACCGTTGGAGGAGACAAGAACGGAGGCACTCGTGTTGTCAAACTGCGCAAGATGGTGAGTAATGCATATACATTTGTCCTTTCTATTAAGATTTGTTTTATGTAGGTAAAATTTGGAATTCTGTCTCTTCAAACACAGACACAGTTAATGCACAGTGTTTTTAATTGTGTGTGACGTTTATTGCCTTGTGGTCATGTTGTGGTTTTTTGGAGGCAAACATTTGTCCATAAAGTTTATATATTGACAACAACATACAACAGGAATCTAAAGTTTCATTTTCTACTCCGACAGCCCCGCTACTACCCCACAGAGGACGTGCCCCGTAAACTGAAGAGCCATGGGATCAAGCCCTTCTCCCAGCACAAGAGGAACCTGCGTGCCTCCATCACACCAGGAACTGTCCTCATTCTGCTCACTGGGCGCCACCGTGGAAAGGTGACAACAGTTTCTGGCATATGCCTCAATAATGAGTCAGTCTCATCAATTAGCAGGAGCACTTGCAGCTTCACACAGGCTGACTTTTTCAGGCTGTAGCATCAGTTGATGATGTCACATTACAGATGAATATTCTGTTTCAATGTCACCTGGTTTATCTTTAGTGGAAAGTCTACTCTGGGTGTCATAAGAGCAAGGATCTTGCTTTAGGACCAAATCAGCTCTGCTTGCCATAAGTTAAAACTTGCTGGAATCACGAGGTGTTATATTTATTTATTTATTTTTAGGTATTATGTAATCAAAAAACAAAACAAAAACTGTCACCCATAGACGACTTAGTCAACCCCAAAGGGCATAGTCATGAGTTTTGTTAATGTTGGTCTTGTATACTGAACCATAATGGACACTTTTGTTTTTCAAATGGACAGAAATGTCACTGGAAGTTAGATTGGTACCTATTTGTGGTTCCCTCTAAGGCCCATTCTGAGCCATGAAAAATTTAATATCGTGTAAATCTGTTGGCTTTGTTACTCTAGAAGAGCAAAAACAAATCCTCCACAGTTGGAAACTGCCTTCATGCCATATGAAGGATCCATAGCAGTGATAGCTTTGGTGTCGGTCATGTTTTGTTTACAATTCATAGTTTAGTTCATTATAGAAGAATTTTCATAGTAATATTAATGAGTTAGTTTTATAGGGCTAGCAGGCAGTTCATGTCAAATATAAACTAGATTGAACGTGAACTGTATCACTGCATGAACACGCCAGTGAAGCACTCAGTCTACAGTTAATGGACTTTGCCAAAAGAACCCAAGCTGAGGCATATTTCAGCATAGTTTGCTAATGATCTGTTGAGCATTATTTTCTGCCATGAATTATCATAGAACTTTAATTTAAAAAAAAAAACAAAAATAAAAAACAGTGAATAGATGCAAAACACATAGTATCAGATACATTTTTCCTGAAAATAAACCTGCTGAAGGTTGCTTATCAAACACTCTGGGTACATCACCATAATCACACCCTCACTACCACAGACATTGTCGCTCCTACTCTTGAATGCTGCATGGGCGAGTTATGGAAGCAAGCGTTCCCACACACTTCAAACTGCGGCTGACCTAAATAATGCTTCAGCTGTGGAACTGAGAGGCAGAGAGGCCCTTCATTAAAATTAGGAGAGCACGTCAAAAAGATTACTTTTCTCCAATCTTAATAACTTGGCATTAAAGCCGACTGAGGTTATTAAACTGGTCTACCCACTACCATAGTTAAAATGGTCTTATTCATGTTGACACAGGATATATGGAGCAATGGATGCCGTAATGTTAATTCTTAATTCTTTAATGCTTAAATTGCACTTTTTATTTCAGCGCGTGGTCTTCCTGAAGCAGCTCTCCAGTGGTCTCCTGCTCGTCACTGGTAAGGATGGGTTTTGTTCTTCTTTAAATACTGTCATTACTTCACAGTTATGCACATGGCAGTAGAACCTGTAATAAATTAAATTACAAAAAAGATGTTGAGCATCTTTTAAACTCTTGTAATCTTTGTTTCCTTTGCACAGGCCCTCTTGCCCTGAACAGAGTCCCCGTGTGCAGGGCCCACCAGAAGTTTGTGATTGCCACAAACACCAAAATTGACATCTCTGGTATGAAGATCCCCAAAACCCTCAACGATGCCTACTTCAAGAAGAAGAAGCTGAGGAGGCCCCGTCACCAGGAGGGAGAAATCTTTGATACAGAAAAAGAGGTAATATATATATTCTGAATTTTTACTGTACTGAAAATGAGCTTTTGGATTAAAAACGACTGACTCGTTGGTTTTCTTCACGTACAGAAATTCCAGCTGACAGAGCAGAGGAAGGAGGACCAGAAAGCCGTTGATTCTCAGCTGTTGCCCCTTATCAAGAAAGTACCTCAGCTGCAAGGGTACCTGCGCTCTTCCTTCTTCCTGTCTAATGGCGTCTACCCTCACAAGCTGGTTTTCTAAATGTGTTGAAATAAACAGTGACCGCTTCATGCCATGTCTCATCTGGTTTTTACTTAAATTCTTTGCATATGGTCCTTAATAATTAACCTGGCCAATTCAGTAGCACATTGTAATATACATGTCCATCTATATGGGTCAACTATCCAAAGCAACAAAGGGGGGAGAAGTATCAGAAGTGATGTGATTTTAAAAACATAGTAGCAACAATGAAAGCGAATGTTTACCAAGGTGGTTGAGGCCAGCTATGTTTGTGGTTTGGAGACTGAAACAAACACTGAAGACAGGAGATGAGGTTGATGAATAGGATTAGGGGTGAGTTCAACCTATGGACAACTCATGTTGATTGGCTATGAGGTGAGATCAAGATGATATGGATGAGCAGAGTTCTAGCTGTACTCTTAAGGGGTCACTACAGGGGATCATCTCTCCATATAGCCTTTTGCTTTTTTGTTTTGCGTGCACTTTTCATCCTCCTTGGTCTCATGTTTGGCACAAATTTAACAATATATTTTCTCCCTCCTGGCATTAATGTCTTTCCTCCAATGTTCTCCAAACTATATTCACCCTGTCTTGTATATGATACACTCCTCCAATCTTCTGGTTGCTTTCCTGACCAGGAAAAAATCTTCACCTGCAACTCACCAGAATTTGAAGCTTGAGCTTACAGGGGTGTGGAAACTCCAGACCACAAGGGCTGGTGTCGTACAGGTTTTAGATCTCAACACATTTGAAGCAAATGATTAGTTCATTACCAGGCCTCTGGGGAACTTCGAGACATGTTGAGGAGGTGATTTTACCATTCAAATCAGCTGTGTTGGATCAAGGACACATCTAAAACCTGCAGGACACAGACCCTAAAGGCCTGGAGTTTGACACCTGTGAGCTACCAGGTGAGTGGAAGGCCAAAGAGGTCAATGAAAAGGGAGGATTCAGGGTCAACTGATACTAAGAGCTTTATGAAGATACATTTTAAGCCTAATCTAAAAAGTAAAGATGGTATTTGTCTTTCTAATTCCAAACTAAGCTGGTTCCACAGAAGAGAGCTGACAAGTAAAGGCTCTGTTTGGGATGCTGAACAAATGTTAAAAAGCAATTCTACATATGCACATTTGAGGACATAATGATCAAAGTCATGGGTGCGGTCAAGGTAATGTTACTTAAAGTAAATGTAGACATTTCTAAGACTTTTTATGACTTAGTACAATAGCCTCACCTTTGTGTCAATTTAGAATAAAACCCTAAAAACACCTGTACTTCAATTTGAAACATCTGGCTTTATGATTAAAGCTAGGCGTCACCTGAATAGTAATGGATATATATGCAATGTTTTCCCGCTTTATCCAAGGATAATGCATTGGAACAGAACCCTGTGACTGATCATTTAATGGATTTAATGAACTGAAAGACGCTTTGTCATATCAAGACCCGAGGAAGCACAGATTGGAAAACGCTCATCCTGTACAAATGTAACCCCATTACACCATCCTGGAAAGAGACTGGGAGTGGCACAAGTCATGATCATCTTGTTGATGGCGGGGTTATAGATGTGGCCTCAGTATGCAAGATAGTCACATTAACCAATCTGAAAGCTGAAATTGAGTGAAATGACCACAGCAGGCATTGGACCCAAACAGCTTAACAGCTATACTTTAATTAAAAAAATGACATGTCTAATGTAACAAGACAAAAATAAATACAAGTGTTTCATCTCTTTAACATGGCCACGTTTTAGTTTTTAGTTTTTTTTTTTTTTGTTTTAAATCTTCAAAAACAACAAAGTAGAAAGCAGCACAGAAAAAGGCAGCGGCCCCTTGCCAAGGAATGATAAGTGCCTTTTGTGGAGTCAGTCCGTATTGTATATGGTCAGCTGGTGTCGGGAAAACGCTTTCCCCTCCCCTCTCAGCCAGACTTAAACAGCAGAATGGCCACCTGACCCAAGTAGAAGTAAATGAAATGCTTCGTCTCATGAGTCACGTAACTGCCAAAGTTCCTCCCAACGATGCAGTGCCAGGTTGGGTTATACTTCTTGTCAAACTCCTGGGTGGAACAAAAAATAGAAAATTTTTTTTTTTTTTTTTAAAAGTGCACAAATGTTAAGCGGGTAAGACAATGCCTGCAAATCCTATATAAGACAAGATGATGGTCAAAAGTCTTGTTTTTTCCCCCCTCTCAAACAGGTGAAGATTTCTTGCACTGATTACATTGTAGTAAAAATTATCTGACCATATCATGAACCATATTTTCAGATTATTCTTAAAAAAAACATCAAGAAATCCAATTTAAGCCTCCCCCTCCCCCCCAATCATTGGGCAGGGGTAACTGAAAGCACTGAATTTGGAGAAATACACTGGGTGGCCTAGTGTGACAGCTAAGTTTAGATGACATTTTCCACCGATTCAAGGTAAAATATCTGGTCAGATACAAACATATACAAAAAGAGCTGCAAGAAATCACTGATCCCAAATTCCTTATGATATTGGTTTCTTTCCCTACACCACAGAGCTAAAGAATGTGGGCATGAGGCTTCTGAAGGACAGACAGTTCGAGAGGAACAGGTTTCCTCAGGAAGAGAGGAAACAATTGCAAATACCAGGCAGGGTGTGCAACTTGCAATGATGCACAGGATGGTTGAGCGCAAAAATAGCCTCAGTCTTCCAGATTTTGCCTGCATGCTTAAGTACAGCCTAGTTTGTGCTTTTTAAAAATGTTTTCTGTTTAGCTTTACCTTTTTAATATACGCAGCGATGTCTTTCTCGATATTGTACTTCTCCAGGGCCTGAGTGGCACACTCCACGGCGTCCTGCTGCATGTCCTCCGACATGTCGGCATTTTTGATCACTGCCTTTCTGTCAGACATGGTTGCCCTGGGAAACCAAAACACAGCGGTGAATTCATCATCTTCACAGGCACACTGGCACGCACACAATACCGCTGACTGGAGAGCCTGAGCATCCTAAGAGTCCTCATCATTGTCTGACTCAAGCCTTTAACTGCTTCAAGATTAGCGACAGAATAAGAAGGGGGAAAAACGCCTATTTTAGTGACGACGCCGGTATTACATAATACCTGATACATAATATTTGAACTAGCTTTTTCTACGAGTGTTGCATAACTTCAATCAGCTGCAGGCTCGCTGGACGCGCGCTCTGCGTAGTTTCTATGGATACGCAGGACATTGCGATTATATAGTCTCACATTTTCCGAGATTTCAGCCACAAGCCTGTGAAATCGGACTGCACAAATTAAACCACATTGCTTCAACTGCTCTACGTTAGAAAACAGTGAGAATGGACGCCTGTCGCTATCTACTTCGGTGCATAAGTTATCAAAATAATACATCCACAGGTCCTGTTAAAACGTAACGTTTGTCAAAAACAGTACTTAATCTGAAGTAAGGTGTCAACAGGAGCGTGGTTTCCTAGCAAACGCATGGCCACATGCACAAGCGATGATGATGCGTTAATTAGCTCAAGCACCATAACTAGCTGATCATTCATCCCGAATAAGAAAAAAGGAACAAACATCAGTTAACGTTACACGCAAACATCACGGCTTCAGTAACATTTGCAAGATATTTAATTAAAATCAAATTTCTGCATGCGAATTGGTTGATTTACCTACTAGTCTCTCGTATACTGTTTCTCTAGTTTTAAAGAGATGACCGCTCCTGAAGTGACAACTCCCGCGAAGTGGTTGACACAAAAGTAGTGTGGGTGTGTAGCGGTAAGAGACTGCTGGCTCGACGAGTTCCGATTGGCTGATATTAATGCACAAAGCGCCATCATTGGCTGACTCGGGCCTATCTTGCTGGTATTTCTGCTTGCATTTTATTTCAACCCATCATGCCTTGCGGTTGCTGCTGTTGCCGTGGCAATCGATGTAAATAACTTATACCACCATTAGGATTTACGACAAATTAATTTACCTCTTTTACAAAAAAATTCCCAATTAAGTTAAAAAGTTGTATTTTTCTGTCGTTTAAATTAATTGTTTTGTAAGAGAAATAAAAAACAAACCAAAAAACATTAAGCCAGAGTACTTGAAATGTCTTTCTAGTCGTCTTATCGTCGTTACGACATAATTATTTTTAATGCCAGAGTAGCATAAGAAAAATAATATATCTCTAAATTATTCACTCATATTTACATTAACATAATTTAACTTAAAACCTACGAAATAAAAACAAAACAAACAAACAACCCAAAAAAAACCCTGTTGTATATAAGGGGGAAAAACAAACGAACACAAATAGCCCATAGAAACAGTTTTTGGTAAATGCGAAGTACCTGGAAAAAGTTGCCTGCAGTAAACAAACCATAATCGTTGAAAATATGGCTTTCAGCTTATATCCCAAGGGTTATGTCATGAATATGGTATATGAACTATTACCTAGTGATTTACATTAGATTTTAAATGTTATAATAAATATAAATAAAAATACAAATATGGTTTTTGTATTGCATTTACTACACTCATACATACAGAAAATGAACAATTTGCATTAACCTCACAGATCCTTTTTTTCTTAAATATTTTCTGACACGTTTGCGTAAACATGTAAAACATATCGTAAGTTGTTAAGTTTTATCTTAATTCAAATATTCAAGTTTTGCATCTTTAGTCTATCCCCTTTCAAAAACAAAGTGTTGAAGATATGATTGTATCATATTCACTACATAGATTTGTTTCACACAAAATAGATTACTCAACTCTACCAGTGCAGTCACACAGCAATGGACTAAAACAAATATACAAACGAAAACCCCACCAAAACAACTAATTTGTCAAAAGATTTCAATGCCAATTTTGTCCCAAACCAGTTGTATTTGTAAATAACCAGCCTAGCCTGTGAATCATAAATTCCTTGCATGTTCCCTTATAATTTCCAATTGGTCTGCCCAAAGTAGAAAACAAAAATACAATAATATATAAAAAACTATAATTTAAAAACCTTGCACAACTAAAGCAAAGTGTTAAAGAGCACTGTTGTCGAGGGGAATGCTCTGATGACCACAGTCTTCATCGTTTG